AACTGTGAAGTGAAATCTGATTCCCCCATTCACTTGGCTTGCCCGAAGGACGCAAAGGGTGGGGGTCACGTAATCCTGCAACCGTCATAAATATGAATCGGTTGCCAAGCGGCTGGGTTTTGATCACGTGACTATGGAGATGCTGCAACGGTTGTGGGAAAAATGGTCATAGGTCACTAATTTCAATGCCGTTGTAACTTCGGACACTAAACGAATGGTCGTAATTGGAGGACTATCTGTGTAATAAAACTCTGTGGCTACTTTGCGGTGCAGCTATTTCTCCCATTATCGGCGTTTCTCAAACCCAGCCACCCAGAAGGGGCTGGGACAGATCCTGTAACTGCTACCACGCCCACCGGGCCTCCTTACTTGTAGTGCAATCCCAGCTCCAGGAAAATCTCTTTCTGCAGGGTGAGAAATTCCTCCATCAGGGCACTGCTTTCGAGGCCCGTCTCGTTGGCGGTGACCCCAAACATTTCCACCTGGGCGAATGCCGGAAGGAGAAGAGGGGGACTTCACTCGAGTTTTACCAAACTTGCCAACTTTTAAGATGGGTGGACTCCAACTCCCAGAATTCCTCGGGCAGCCTGCTTTCAGATGCATGGACAGTTCAAGTCCCCACATCTTAAAAGTTGCAAAGTTTCTCTCCATTTTTGGAGAGAAATCATCATCATCTGAAACAGACCCAATTTGGGAGCAAAAACGGAACGCTCCAGCCAAGGTGAAATTGGCGGGGTCTTATTTGGCACTTGTTTCCTTCTTGGAAATATAACCTTCCACTGATTGATCACGAATGTTACGCTATTGTTATTATCACTAATGTTTCATCGTTGTGGAGGATTGCCTCCTCAACGTACGACCATAACTGAGCCCAACATTTCGAGATGGTTCAGCGATTTTTGCTTCCGTTTCAGGACCCTTCCTGCCGCATTTGCTAAGGGAGTCACTGCAGCTGCCTAGTTAGTGACAACGGTTGTTAAGTGAAGCCGGATTCACCCATTGTCAGAAGGACGCAAGAGAGAACGGTTGCAAGTCAGAGACTATCTGTATATTTTTTTTGCTCAATACGGAGTGCCCTCCCTTCCACCGTAATTTTGATTTTTCTCCAGGCACAGCCAAACACACGCCTGCACCCAGCAGCTAAAATACGCCAGGCTGCATCCAGCGAAGGTGTCTTGTTTGTGGCACCCGCACAGCCACAGGTGTGCTGTATCTTTCTTCCCCTCTCCCTCTGCAGACCTTGAAGGTGAGTGTGGCAAAAGTGAGCCAAGCCAGCCTCACCTTGGTGAACTGATGCACCCGATAGAGACCCCACGGTTCTTTCCCCTTTTCAGTTTCTGCTCGGTAGCAGGTGCTGGAACACACAATCCTGGCCAAGAGAAAAAAGAGGATTAATCAGGCCGGGCGGTGCAGATCGGGCCTTCCCAGCCCCCCCTCCCCCCCCCGACAAAAATCCTGGGAAATCCAGGTGTGAATGCACAGGATGTAGAAAACCACTCACCTGACAGGCATATCCTTCAAAGCTACAGCGTGGTCTGCAAAATAACCTGGAGAAGCCAAAAACAGAACGAAAGAAAGAAAAAGAAAGGGGGCAGATAGGAGAGAATATTCGTAGCTCGGGGGCAAACTGTATTTGGGGGGTGGGGGGTCTCGAGGTTGAGGGTCTTCTTGCAGACATTATGGAACCCAACTAGGGAACATCATCAGTGCCAGAAGACGAGCAATTAAATAAACCAAGAGTAAACAACAGATCAATTAAGGAACCGCCAAGGACATTCCCAGCAACACGGACAGAGCAAGCCACTTGGATATAGACAACAAATCCTTCTGGCACTGATGGCGTTACCTAGTTGGGTCATGGAACGTCTGCAGGGAAACCACCAAGCTCAGAGAGCACCAAGGACCCCACAATCCCCTTCCTCCTCCTTCATTCCACACATCCCTCTTCCTTCAAGCACTGATGTGGCCCCCCCAAATTCATCCTCAACCACAGGCTGGAAGGCTTCCCTGTTTCAATCGTACCTGCAATGCCGACTTCAGATGTTCCCGCCAAGTTCAGATCCTCGAACCGGGAAGGGTCTATGCTATACACCAGGGAGGAATGGACTTCAGGTAACATGCCACAGCCTTCCTGATACACAGAAAACACTGATGATGTTACCTAGCTGGGTCATGAGACGTCTACAAGAAAACTTCTAAGCTCAGAGAGCACCCAGGACCCCCGAGTCCGAGTCCTCCTCCCCCAACAAACCCCACTCTCTTCTAGCACTGATGATGTTCCCTAGTTGGGTCACGAAACATCTGCAAGGAAACCACCAAGCTCAGAGAACACCAAGGACTCTGCAGTCCTCTTCTTCCTCCTCTTCTTCCTCCCCTTCATCATTCTCCTCCTCCCCTCTTCTTCCCCACAACCCCCCTCTCTTCTAGCACTGATGAGGTTACCTAGTTGGGTCATGAAACATCTGCAAGAAAACCACCAAGCTCAGAGAGCACCAAGGACTCTGCAGTCCTCTTCTTCCTCCTCTTCTTCCTCCCCTTCATCATTCTCCTCCTCCCCTCTTCTTCCCCACAACCCCCCTCTCTTCTAGCACTGATGATGTTACCTAGTTGGGTCATGAAACGTCTGCAAGAAAGCTCAGAGAGCACCAAGGACCCCACAGTCCTCCTCCTCCTCCCTTTTCTTCTCCTCCTCCCCCTCCCTTCACCCTCCTCCTCCTCTCCCAACAAACCCCGCTCTCTTCTAGCACTGATGATGTTACCTAGTTGGGTCATGAAACATCTGCAAGAAAACCACCAAGCTCAGAGAGCATCAAAGACCCCACAGTCCTCCTCCTCCTCCCTTTTCTTCTCCTCCTCCCCCTCCCTTCACCCTCCTCCTCCTCTCCCCACAAACCCCGCTCTCTTCTAGCACTAATGATGTTACCTAGTTGGGTCATGAAACATCTGCAAGAAAACCACCAAGCTCAGAGAGCATCAAAGACCCCACAGTCCTCCTCCTCCTCCCTTTTCTTCTCCTCCTCCTCCTCCCTTCACCCTCCTCCTCTCCCAACAAACCCCGCTCTCTTCTAGCACTAATGATGTTACCTAGTTGGGTCATGAAACATCTGCAAGAAAACCACCAAGCTCAGAGAGCATCAAGGACTCCACAGTTCTCCTCCTGCTCCTCCTGCTCCTGCTCCTCCTCCTCTCCCAACAAACCCCGCTCTCTTCTAGCACTAATGATGTTACCTAGTTGGGTCATGAAA